TACTAGTATGAGTGTATCACTTGTGCTAAGTGAATGATATGATCTTCAGATAAGCTGATTATTATCCACATTGTCATTAGTTCAGATAAGATAGGAATTATCAATAGATGAATATCACAAAGGATGAAATTTCAAAAAAAGTGCAGTTTGATCCATTTATCGCCTATGTGACGGATGTGTATTTAAAGATTTTTCGAATTCTGTTTTCAAAAACGATCACTAATGTTTTTTTTTTCAGAAGAATACCGATTGTAAATTGATCGAAAACGTGTATCTTTTTATCTTTTTTCTAGAATTATACACAATATGATAGTAATTGGTTTTCTGTACAATATGAGGAGTACTTTGAATGAGCATTTCGATGAGTTCTATCCTGATGGTAATCGTAAGTACCTTTTATTATTCACATAAATGTGAATTTAAGTCTCAAAGTTGATATAAAAGAAGTTGACACTTTGAAAAGATATTTCCAAAAAATGTCATTCTGTTTTCAGTGATCGAACACATTAAACAACAGTAAATTTCGATAAGTAATGAGAAGTACAGTTTAAAAAGACAGTATCACATCTTGTTAGTAATTGTGAATTATCGATTTACATTAGCGGCATGTTGACAAATCACTCTGGCTTTTCAAGCAATGAATATTCTAACATTTACACTCATTTGAGGTTGTTGCATGAGTTCAGAAACTAACTTTGATCCAACCAATGTTGTTTAAAAGTGACTAATTGGACACAGTACTAATTAAGTACAGCGTTATGTGCTGGAATATGGCTCACTCTAAAGTAATATAAGTTGATAGTGAAATAAAGACCTTTTGTTGCTAAATATTTTGTTAGTAGTTCCAGTCAAAGACACGTTTATGTTTTTGCTAAATATGACTTCATTCGATTAACATGATAAAATATTGCTTATTACCCGAAATATTTAGCTAAACCAACAAAAAGTTGTCTTGATGAAGTAAGAGAGAATTTCCGAAGGATAGTAGAAGGACGTGATGAATATCTTAGTATAAATCAACAAACAAATCAACAAGTGAGTTGAATATTTAATAAAACATTCCATCAAATTTAGGGACTGTGAATAACTATTACATAGAACTGTTTTTAGAGTACATTTTTGCAAGCACCTAAAAAGTGACGACTTCAAGGCAGAAATGCATGTGTTTCATAAAACCAGAGAATGATGAACGGCAAAGTTGTGGAAATTCACTGTTCCCCAAAACAATTCATCAAACTACCTACAATTCAGTGATGTGTCTATTTCCGGCAAACATTATTAATGAATTTTTTCTAATTCTTTTTGAAATTTTTTTAATTTATGTAATAATATAAAAGTATCATTCTTTGATTTGATCAGTTCATCTGTTTTTTTCAATTAAATAGGCCAATGAGTTATTTTCTGAACTGTCGAACAAATTTCTACGATCGTTCTCATCAAAGTTAAGGCTTCGTGAAGATGGCAACAGTAGCACAACTAGAGAGGTTTGTTTAAACTTTTTCAATACTTATGTTAATAAAAAAATAACCTGATTCATTATTTAGGTTGACAAAACGCAATATAGTTCAACGATTGCAGAATTCTTCAATGAAGTAAGTTCCAAAAGTACAACTTTATTTATTATTCAACAAATAAATGCTAGTGAATTAGTTAACTAAGTAATTCGGCAAATTTCGTAGTACAATCAATCAATTCGTTACATGGTGTATATATTCGCGTCTGAAAATTTAGAAATTGCAAATTAGTCTATATATGAGTGAAGCCCTATTACATCTTATCAGTGATAAATTCAGTATGCCGAGTGTAGTCAGTCGGCCAGCATTTATTTTGAATTTATTGATTGATAAGATGGATCAGAGAATCGATATTAAAACACGTAAGAAGTGAATGAACAGATTATATGAAAGCGGATCAAATGAATATCGCCCTACTAAATGTGACGATGTTCTTCATCTTCTAAATTCCGTATATCTTTGTCGTGGTGAACGTTACTATAGAACACGAATCGTTGATACAATTTCTCTATTATTTAAACAACATAAATATTGAAAAGAATATATATAAATATATAATCGATTTTCCTGTGGAATTATTGATAAAGTTCATCGATAAAGCTAGTCAAATGACTAAGTGCTTGGGGTGATAAGTAATGCTCAAGCATACATACGCGTACACGTTTAACAATGATCAAAGTGCAAGATGTATATACGAGGTGCTACATTTAGCAAAGCTAGGATGAAGAACTGACAATATTATCATTCTGAATGCACAAATGTAGCTCCAATGTTCTAACAACCATAGATCATGTGATGTGTAATGAATTTACATAATTTTATCAGCCTGTTAATATACAACAGGACCACTACTGACTGCCCACCTCGTCCGTGGTAATGTGATTATATAGACTTAAACAATTAGACCATAAAAATGTTCCTACGATTTTCTTTATTCAACAAATTTATAACTATGAGAAATGGTTTTTTCGATAAATCATTCTATTTCATTTCTATTTCAGTTAAATCCTCTAAAACATAATTATTTCATGAATGTTTATATTTCGCAAAAAACTAACTATTTGAAAACAATCCACAGAATTTTATATACCAGTGATTAGTAAGTTGCCATTTAAAATGTTTGTTTTTTTATATTACTGTTCATTTCCCGTTTAATGAGGTTTCTTAAAAATAAGGTCAAAAGCATTGATCTCAGAGTTTACCTTAATCATTTTTAGAACATTTTAGATTGTGCTCTGATTTACTTTGATTATCTTGATTGGCATGAAACGAACGAAATGATTAAGGAAGGATACCATGTAAACCGTTTTAATTAAATGATCAAGTCACAACACGAATGTTTAAGTTGATGATAGCTGACATTTATAAAAAAACAATGAAAGCTTTATGTCTAAACAGACCTATGTACAATAATCTGAGAAAACGACACAGTGTGAACAAGGTAAAAGAAAAAAACATGTCAACCTTTCCTTATTTTATTCTCCTGACATTGCACCTTCATCAATCGATGTACAATGTGATTGCGTACACCATGTTGATTTTTGGATAAGGGAGATTCTCCTTATTCCTTGTATTATTGTAAATTCTTTTAACTGAAACCGATATTCATTTGTATGTAAATTGTGATATATACAATATATATATTGAATGGAATAAAATGATAAACTGTGTTTCTTCTCACTGATTATTTTCAAAACTTAAATCATTACCAATTAAATCATGTTGATAAATATTTGTTTTTTTGATTTCTTTAGTATTACACATAATGTACCTGGAAATGTTGTATACCCTGGAATTAATTTGGCTGCTTCATTTTTAAATCCATCATTTCTGGATGCATCAAATTCCATGTCGGAAAAATATGCAATTCTTGGTTGGTTGATTAGTCGTAAACTAGTGTCTGGAGGTAATATGAACACTATTTTATCTTGGCTAATTCTCAAAATTCACTAAAACTGATTATTCTCAACTAATGGCGATCAACAAAGATTCGCTTATTTGGTTTTTCTTTTAGCACAACACTAACTTAATTGTGCTGATACTGTGCATGAAATATGTTTCCATTTAGTTAATGAAACTAGCTAAATTGAAACGTAAGCTACTAAAGTGTATATAGACGACACAAATTTAACTGCCGGTATCAACGTGATTTTAGTAAATACGTCAACAGCTACAAGATGTATGTTCACTTAAGTTGATAAGTCAGATTTTGTGTAATATATGCATCAGACTTATTGTAAATCATAGCTGATATATTTATATTTAATCGTTGTTCAATATGTTGAGAATTAGAAACTTATATTCTGATTAGATTATAAATCAATGCTAAAAACCATATTTGAGTCTGTCCGTTAGAATTCAAATGTTATAAGTATGGATTCGTGTACTCCAATTAACAATGCTTCATAACAAAGGTACTGCAAGTTTTACGCTACTTTAAACTATGAAATATCAACAAAGGAGTGTGGTAATAATGAATTGACAAAGATTCCTTAAACCACTTTCGTAATCATAACTACGAATTCAAGTAGTTTAGTTGTAATTTGAAAATAACGCTGTTTTGAGTTAGTTTCTGAATACAATGTTCACATGACATTCTCATTACAGCTCTCAATAATAAAGAGTTGGATGAACGACAACAGGTTCAGTTGTCGTGTGGATCAACTAATGCATTACCGATTGAAAATCAACTGTGTTGTTTATCTGGACGGAAAAGCTCTCAAGAGATTGAGAACAAAGTAAGCGACCAATTTAATAAGCGTTTTGGTCAGACGTAGTTTGACTATTTCAGAGTGTGAGCATTCAAGTTGTATTTTTCAGGTGAAATATTAGACTGAAATATGGAAAATATGTCTTTTATGTATAGTAAGATGATCCATTTTGGAACACACAGCACGACTACTGAAACCATTTGTAATATGTGTGGCACACAAACCAACAGAATCATTTCAATCAATCCTATGTAGACCTAAGGACAAAATGAAAAGGGAAGAAACACCAAATATCATCTACAAAATGAATTGCTTCGACTGTGAAAAACGCAACATAGGACAAAGTAGACGGCCTCTTCAGCTTCGTCTACGTGAACACCGATTAGCAGTCTAACGCCACGACGAACACACCGACATTGACTCACTTTGACAACAAATCAGGAAAATTAAAGGCGACATAGGATCAAGAAACAGGTCAAAAGGGGGATGCAATCAAAACAAAAGTGCAAACAACGACAGGTTTAAGGTCAACAGCAACCAGTCAAGATCGAGGTTAGCAGAACAAGCTACAGGTCAAACACGGAGAAATTCGAATGCTTCTGAAGTTTGTGCTGATGATGTTGTTCATAAGAAGAAGAATGAAGGCTCCACAACCGAAACACCCAGCTCAGAGAACCAAACGCCACTACCACAATCATCCACCTGAGCTACAAATCTTGTCCACCATCTCAAATTCAATGAGTTTATATCATTATTCAACAATATTTTATCCTAAGTGAATATGTGTTATAAAGGTTTTCAGATAGAACATAAATTATCGAGTCAATACCAAAAACTTTGAGAATTTCATTGAAATTGAAATTACCGTCCAAATATACAAAGACAGAGTATGCAAATTATTTCTGGGTGTAAGCTGCATCCACAATTGAGTCATAACTTGTGTCGGAATGTACACAGAAAATATGTGCAGTATAACTAAATCAAAATTAGTGATATTACAGCAATATCAATTACAATATATTTCAATCTTCATCCATCCAGTGTTTGTCACTGATTTTGCAAACTGATCGCACTTCGGGCGCTTAGGCTGTCGCGCTGTCTACAAAAACTGTGATACTGAAATAAAGTGTATACCAGAAGATTTTATTTGTGCTATTGGTACTATATAAATGATTTCATATAAAAGTCTTTTCAAACGTATGAATTCAATTAATTTGCAACACGTTTAAAATCTCAGAACGTTAAACATATATTGCTTAACGTAATTTTTTTTTTCCAAACATCAACTTAATTTATCCTGCTTTGATGCTTTTCACATCAATCAGAATTTGAAGCTACTATCAGCTGATATTAATGGCCTTATGTTAGCATTTTCAGTAAGTAAACTTTAATTAATGTTATATCTTTTATTTTTTGTCAACTACCTAACTCATACTCTAACTATGTGAGTATCACACAACCAAAATTCAAAAATACTTTAGTTGCATTTTAACTGCATTGATTAATTTCAAACTCAATACAAACATTAGATATAGATTTCATTTTGAATGAAAGTGACAACTGTGTGATTTGTAGCTGAATTTGAAATGATATTTTGATGAGAGGCAATAAAAATTGTTAAAGTCTTTGAACCTTAATAATTTGAAATAGGTTATATTGTATTTCTACTCTTGAAATATCATGAATATGTGATTAAATTATTACTTATTTCTATGAACTATTTTGTTTGTTCTAAATCACCAAGTAGAATGTAGGTATTGATTTATGGCTAGTTTTCTGTCACATACAACAAAATGTACTAGTAATCTAGCATTGAACATAGTTTTAAAAAATGATTCAATGTTCACTGGAATGTGGTCTCGTTATCTTCAAAGAAAGATTGATCTAGTGTGATTGTAAAGCAAACTTCATTATTTACAGATATTTACGGTATTAAGATCATTGTTTCAGTATAATTAAAAAGTAACAGAATGAAGTTAATGAGTCAAATTTGTGTCGTAGAAATACGAAGAAGAAATTATGAAGAATAAAATGGATGTTTTGCATGAAAAGAAAATGTTTTTCGAAGCATTCGGTAAAGTAAGTTATGCATATCAATACAGTTTTGTTAGTAAAAGCTTTTCCGCATGTTCATATGTTTATCATATGTTATGAACTTGAGTCATTAGTGAGCAGTTTTACATTCTCTACTTGAGTAACGCCAAACCACTGTACGAATGACAACACTGAACGTTAGACTCCAACCGTTCAGAAATAAGAAGACGGGAGACGTTGGAGAGCAATTATTAACAGAATCAAAAATAGACAATAAAACATGCGTATTTATACAATTATGCTAATAATCGATATTGTCCTTAAAATATTTAAACAATAATCAAAATAGTTCATCACTCGACTGCTCTTGAAATATTTAAGCATTGATTCGATAAGTTAATCAATTAACTATGTGCGTGGGTAACTTCTTGATGGCTATCTCTAGACCAGTTCACGTACAATCTAAATATGTTTTGAAACAAGTATTCTCGTGATATAAGAGAATTAGGTGATTAGGTTCAAGTATGTTTTGTGTGTGACACAGTATCTCATCTTAATGATAAGTTTTATTTTTTGGGAAAATTAATTTCATTAAAAACCATACCATCTCAATTAGTGACATATAATAATATATCAGCCAATAATAGTCGAATCATATAAGGATGATAACAGTGTTCGATTGATTAACACGTAGTCAAGATGTCAAATAAATGTTATCCTTGCTACGAAAAAACTGAATATGCAGTTGGTACGATGTAGAGATTGATTAGTTGTTGTAAATCAAATATTATATGATTTGATTCAATGGAGAAGTAGATAGGAGGTAAAATAATGATGTATCATTGTGTTTGTAACGAATTCATAATTGTTACGATCATCACTAGTGAGTGTTATTATTATCACGAACAGACTTATTGTTGATGATGAAACTTTTATTTTTGTAATTGGATTGTCTTGAAAACTAGTTCTTCGGAAGAAAAACAATTATCATGTCAACTACCTTGTCCCTTATTATTTGAATTAGAAATAATTCAGTATTTTGATTAGAACTAGTTACAAGATGACAATTTGTGTATCAGATTGTGATGTAATAGTGAATGAGAAATCTTTATACAACTGTTAAATTACCACTCAATATTTGAAGTGAACATTACGTGAAAGCAAAAAACGCGTGCATATTTTAAATCAATATACTGATTTACTAGTTGAATGTGCACTTCTTTATTTATCAGAATGTAAAATTATCATTGATAGTTGTTAATGTAAGACAAGAGGTGCCCGGATCAAATAAACTGATTGATTGATCTCAGCATGAATATACAAATGAATAGATTCATCAATCCTTTTCATTGGTTTTAATTTCAACTTCTTCATAAATATCACGTCAATACGTTGACATACATATAAACATCATGTGGAACTCAATCTAGACCATTTAGTTTGATTACATGTAATAAAGTTAAGTAGAACTTTATTGTATCTTCATTCTATTTGTCATCCACCGTAATAAGTAAAACAGTGTGGTTTGAAGCGGCTTCACGATTTTGTTGCTTATCGGTCTGTTAACAAAAACGTATTCTCTATTGAATTTTAGTTAGTCGCTTTTTGTATGCATCTGTTGAGTTTTTGTGATTCTCTCTAATTTCGTCTATTCTTTATAATTGAAGGTAATGTGTGAAGACGTCTCTCCTGATCTCACTGATTACAAGTTACAGTCGTTTCCTCAAAACTATAAATTCAGGTAATCTCTTTGTAAATATACATTAGCTGATACAAAATGCATTCATCTCATGGCTTGAAAATGTATTTACTATTCCCCGATTGTTAACTGTTATATTATTTACTCAACATTATCTTTAATTTGAATGAAAAACGGTGTAGTTTTAGTGCTGAGTGTCGAATAATGACGATAAAAAATGTTTTGTTCACAATAATGCATCATATTTTCACCAATTAACAATTTTCATTTTCAATTTTGATTTGCCTTGTTTAAAGCGTAAATGAAATTCTGAAACATAATGAAGAATTCGCCAAAACATACGGATGTCCATTCGGTACAAAAATGAATCCTCGGAGGAAATGTATTCTTTGAGGAAAAAAAAGTTATTGTCGATGCGTATAAGTGATATTAATTGTTTTGCATGTGTCCATGTTATTTTGTTTTGATAAAAATTTAGTGTGATTCTCTATCTTCTTATATTATAAACATCTGTAAAGTAACTAGAGTTTAATATTTAGGTAGTACATTCGGATGGATTTATTCTAATACATTGGCTAACATTATGGCAAAATTATTGATCAACTTGAAGAACTCTACCTAAAAACAATTCTTTACAGTACAGCCTTAATATTTTACTGTACTAATAACAATAAGGTACTCAAGTACTTTCAACTGACAGAAGACAAAAAAGGAGATGGCATGACTAACTTCTGTATTCGTTGGTTGCATTAACTCTAAAACAAAACTCAATTAATACACAAGTATATAGTTTACGACGCACAATTAAAATACAATATGATGCTTGCGAACAATGAAGTATTTATGAAGAAATTCAGAACAGACTGCGCTTCGTTCAATCACCATAAAATTGGTATTGTACAAGATGTGATGACAGTGTGTTAATCAGATAGAAACTGTGAAGAATACAACACAGTGGTTCTCCATGGTAATTATGAATACTCAGATTATCGAAAATAGAAATAATAGCATGTTACAGGAGGCATGTCAATTAACAGGCAAGATCAAAATGGAAGTAATGTCGTATTGAAATACGGGTTAAGGGATACCTCATTCGTTTTTATGCGTCCTCTTATAATAAGGAAAATACACCAGTTGATGCGATTGTTACCCGCATCGACAGCGATTTTCCGAATAATCGTTCACCAACTTATTTTACATTATGGACAATTTAGCATACATCTTCAAGTGAACAAGTATACAATTAGGATTGACGTAACAAGAAGAGCAGACCCTCTTGTGTGATGATACTTGAATTTGTGAAATTAAGGTTGGAGGAAAGCAAGTATCTGACTGGGAATTAGAAAAACTCAGAACAATAGCAATAACAAGTAATATATACATTCAGCATTGCGTCCAATGACTTTTAGACGGATTTACTCACGTGTATAGTCATTTAACCGGGTGATTGCAGAATGTCTTACAAGATAAATTAGACCCTGCTGAACGACTTCATGAATGATCAAGTAATTAATCAGACTGTTACTTCGTCACTCGTATCAATGATAACTGTAGGGAACAAAACGATAGCTTGTCTATATAATCTACAGATTAACAATATTTGTTGAAACTGACGCATCCCGGCATTTTAATCTGAATATCCATCGAAGCTTTAACACGGGCCTTATTGTAAAGTTATTGTAAGCTTCTTCTACTGAGACTGAGATTAACGAATGTGTACATTAGAATATTTTCTGCAAAAGAAAGAAAAATTGGTAACTTTCTGAAGGAACACGTTCTATGACATCACTGGTGAACAGTGATGTGAAATGTATTGATATATTGATTGACGATCTAGGTTCCTTTCAACAATGTCTTAGATCTCGAAATGATAATTTCACTTCAGACTAATTTTCGAGTCAGATGAAACGTACTCACGTATTTCATACTTCCAAACCACATTATACTGTGATTCGAATAGTTCAGGATACCTGCATTGTGTTTGATTTGCCAGCAATTTTAACAGTATCACATGTGTAGATTATGGTCACGGATGTGTTAGTATATAGGTGACCGGTGTTTCTTTTGAGATAATATTAAGTGATAGTTACTGGTGCTGTTAACATTCATTTAAACTCAGCCGTCCTTCGAAATAATAAAATCAAAGATTATGTAAGATGATATTATGGTACTTACTTACTTACTTACGCCTGTTACCCCCAATGAAGCATAGGCCGCCAACCAGTTTTCTCCAACCAACTCTGTCCTGGGCTTCCCTCTCCAGTTCTGTCCAATGTTTGTTCATTCTTCGCACGTCTTTCTCTACTTCTTATTTCCTTTTGTCTTGAGTATTCCATGTGAGGGCTTGTCTCGTGACGCAGTCAGGTGCTCTTCGTAGTGTGTGTCCTATCCACTTCAACCGCTTCTTTCTGATTTCCTCCTTCACAGGAATCTGGTTTGTTCTCACCCACAGTACGTTGTTGCTGATGGTGTCTGGCCAACGAATCCGAAGTATTTTGCGAAGACAACTGTTATTAAACACTTGTATCTTCTGGATGATGCCTTTCGTAGTTCTCTAAGTTTCCGCTCCATACAGTAGAACTGTCTTGACATTTGTATTGAAAATCCTGATTTTGGTTTTGGTTAAAAAATGTTTGTAGTTCCAGATATTTTTCAACTGTAGAAATGCAGCCATTTCTTTTCCGATCCGTGCCCCCACATCTGCATCGGATCCACTTTGGTTGTCGACGATGCTGCTCAGATATGTCAAGGTGTCAACGTCCTCCAAGGCATCTCCATCAAGAGTGATTTGATCGGTGCATGTTGTGTTGCATCGGATAACTTTGCTATTTCCTTTATGTATGTTGAGACCTGCTGCTACACTGGTCGACTTCTCTTGCATTTGTTGTTGCGTGTGAGATAGAAGAGGTAGGTCATCCGTTAAGTCCATATCATCCATCTGCATCCTAGCTGACCATTGGATACTGTGCTTCCCTACAGATGCTGATGTCTTCATAATCCAGTCGATCATCATTAAAAATAGAAAGGGTGAGAGTAATCAACCTTGCCTGACACCGGTCTTCACCACAAACGAGTCTGTTAGCTGTCCTTGGTGTATGATTTTGCAGTTAAATACATCATAACAATTCCGTATGATTTTCAACTATTTTCTAAAGCACACAGTAATGTGATACTACTCTAACATATGTTCCAACAGTTCATGTAAAACCTATTGACTTGCTATATATTTGAAAACTGACGTATTCTGGCATTGTTCCCTGAATATCCACTAAAAACCTAACGCACGCCCTCTTTCAACATTGGTGTGAGCTTGTCTGCTTGTGGTTATAGTCTATACAGACACGTACTAGGAGAAAAGATCTGGTAATGTTCTGAACTTTTGTGTTTCCTGACGTCACTGATAATATTCATGCAAAATATGTTGTCGTATCGATTTCAGATTACTGTCTTCTTCTTGAAGAGAATGTGAAATATTTTCGCGGTTGCTTCCACATCTGCTTTCATTGTTTCGTACAATTGTCTCAAGTTTCCTTCTCTTGCAGCCTTTTCCGCCGCCATTGCTAGATCTTCCACATATTTTCGTTTGTCAGCTCTGATGCTCTTCTTCACTTCCCTGTTTGCTTCTGTATACTCGGCTTGCGCCTTAACTTTCTCTGCTCTTGTTCGGCAGACATTGATAGCTGCCTTCTTGTTCCTCCTTTCTTGAATTTTTTCAAGAGTACCAACAGAGATCCATTCCTTGTGATGGTGCTTCTTGCGACCAAGGACTTCTTGACATGTTGAAGTGATTGCCTCCTTAATCCCTTTCTAATTGTTCTCCAATGTTGCTTCCTCTCCATTGAGTAGATCCTGAAAGGCCTGGAACCTATTGGTGAGGGCTATCCTGAATTCGTTGAGCTTTACAGTATCCCGAAGAAAGGCCGTATTAAACTTCTTTGATGTTGTCTGCCCCGTTGTCCAGTGCTTCTTTAACTTCAATCTCATTTTGGCGATCAGCAAGTGGTGATCTGAAGCTATATCAGCTCCTCTCTTGGTTCGTCTGAACTTTTTGTTAATACAGATATGGTCAATTTGGTTTTGAGTAGTGTGATCCGGTGAAATCCATGTGGCTTTGTGAATGCGTTTGTGCGGGAATATTGTGCCACCGATGACCAGTTTGTTGAAGGCACATAGGTTTGCAAATCTCTCACCGTTTTCGTTCCTTTCTCCCAGTCCATGTCGTACCATGATGTCTTCATATCCAGTGTTGTCCATTCCAACCTTGGCATTCAGGTCTCCCATAAGAATCGTCAAATCCTTTGGTGAACATTTATCGACGATTGACTGCAGCCTTTCGTAGAATTGATCTTTAACGTCGTCATTGTAGTCATTGGTAGGTGCATAACATTGGATGACGTTCATTGTAATGTCCTCTTTCTTTGTTTTGCAGGATGCTTTAATGATCCTCGGCCCATGAGATTCCCATCCTATCAGTGCCTTTTGTGCATGTTTGGACAGCATCAGTGCAACTCCTTGTGTATGTGAAGCGTTTTCCTCTTCATGACCAGAGTATAACAGCAGTTCCTCTGAAGCAAGTCTCAGTTGTCCTACCTGTGTCCAATGTGTTTCACTGATCCCGAGCACCTCGAGGTTGTATCTTTTCATTTCTGCCGCAACTTGAAATAGTCTTCCAGTCTCCCACAGTGTACGAACGTTCCATGTACCTAAAAAAATGGTTGCTCTGGTTGTCAGAAGAGGCATCGGCCCCGTGACTTCCGAGGGGACTCGGCTTTCATCACGAGACGTCATAATTCTTCTTCCAACTCCCAGGGCAAAGTGAAAATGGTTTGAATTATTTTTTCTGGTTAGCGTTTTTTTGGCAAGTGAGATTTCAATGGAATGGGGCCGCCAACCCCAAGTCCAACCCTCCTCCTTTATCCAGGCTTGGGACCGGCAGTAGCCCCTAAGGTTCTACTGGCGGAGTTATATAAGCTTTCATTACAGGTTTATCAAATTTTTATATCTTCCGTTTATGATTCTCAAAAACGTTTTGCTTCCTTACTTACTTAATAATAATAATAATATATTTCTTCTCGAATAACTACGTTACAAGTGTCACGTCAGTTTACAGACTAGATCAAATTGTCACAAATGCTTTCACAATTACTGTAAAGTTATAGCAGGTAAATTAAATATAAGAGTCATTTTCTGATTGCATGTTTACACCATGTCACTGACAGTAACAGTATTATACAGCCACATTTTCAATCGTGGATTACAAATAGGGAAGGTGCACAATAGGTTCTTCCGGCGGTTTGCCGAGACCAATTGTGAATTTGTTGGAGAAGGTCAATTGATCCGTGCTTCATACGAGCTGTGATCCAGATAGTCATTTACATAGGGTGCATGTTCCCTAGAGTTGTCAAGGATTTCCCACCGTGAATGGTGTTCTGAAAAGGAGAAAAGAGAGAGAGAACAAGGCAGCAGTATGGCAAGTGTATATATAAAACCGAAGCACTA